TCAGCTCTGACTCGGTATGGCCATGTGTATGTCAGCTCTGACTCGGTATGGCCATGTGTATATCAGCTCTGACTCGGTATGGCCATGTGTATATCAGCTCTGACTCGGTATGGCCATGTGTATATCAGCTCTGACTCGGTATGGCCATGTGTATATCAGCTCTGACTCGGTATGGCCATGTGTATATCAGCTCTGACTCGGTATGGCCATGTGTATATCAGCTCTGACTCGGTATGGCCATGTGTATATCAGCTCTGACTCGGTATGGCCATGTGTATATCAGCTCTGACTCGGTATGGCCATGTGTATATCAGCTCTGACTCGGTATGGCCATGTGTATATCAGCTCTGACTCGGTATGGCCATGTGTATATCAGCTCTGACTCGGTATGGCCATGTGTATATCAGCTCTGACTCGGTATGGCCATGTGTATATCAGCTCTGACTCGATATGGCCATGTGTATATCAGCTCTGACTCGGTAATAATCAACAGCTGTTAAAAGTAACATTACACAGACAACCTGTCTATAATGAACAGCTACTAAAAGTAACATTACACAGACAACCTGCCTATAATCAACAGCTCCTAAAAGTAACATTACACAGACAACCTGTCTATAATCAACAGCTCCTAAAAGTAACATTGCACAGACAACCTGTCTATAATGAACAGCTCCTAAAAGTAACATTACACAGACAACCTGTCTATAATCAACAGCTCCTAAAAGTAACATTACACAGACAACCTGTCTATAATCAACAGCTGTTAAAAGTAACATTACACAGACAACCTGTCTATAATCAGCAGCTCCTAAAAGTAACATTACACAGACAACCTGTTTTTAATCAACAGCTGTTAAAAGTAACATTTCACAGACAACCTGTCTATAATCAACAGCTGTTAAAAGTAACATTACACCGACAACCTGTCTATAATCAACAGCTGTTAAAAGTAACATTTCACAGTCAACCTGTCTATAGTCAACAGCTGTTAAAAGTAACATTTCACAGTCAACCTGTCTATAATGAACAGCTCCTAAAAGTAACATTTAAAGTTGATTATTGATAAATGTCTGTTTCCTTGTACAGTTGGTAACGTTAAGATAAAGTGTCAAGTGTTTATGTGTTACCAGGACTGCCCATTATGTGGAGTATGTGTTCAGTAAATTTGGAGTAAGGTCGCCGGCCCTCCTACCTGAACAGGTGGACATGAAGCAAACAAGATGGGCATCTAATATGGTAAGTGTATCTAATATGGTAAGTGTATCTAATATGGTCAGTGTCCATGTAGAACGTCACAATGATTGTCATTGAGGCTATATTCTAACTCACACAGTTTGGCCAGTTACTCATTTTGTAATTCGTATAATCCCCAAAAAAATTTCATTCCGGGTTACATATATGCTCTTTCATACATTGCCCGGTCAACAGCTATGATACAGCTGGCCGGGTATATACATGAAAGGTATTATTAGTAGTTTCACAGCTGTGATATCCTCTTAGCCCATATAAAGGTAGAATATTTTTGGAAATAAATATTATAATTTGCTATTAATCTCAATCTGCCTTCGAGTCTTTTGTTAAATACATTGGAACTTATGTATAAGTGTGGTTTTTGAACTAAGACAAGTCTATCCTATCACGCACATGCACACAGGCAGTAAGGGTCAGCTATGTGGTCAGTCTTTCAGTACAGTCACATGACACCATGTGGTCAACTACAGCAGTGATTGGTCAGTTCAGTCACGTGACTCATTCTTTGTTTAGTGTCAGTTTCAGCAGCCTGTTTGCAGTAGATTGGTGTGCCTGATATTTTGTGACCCACCACCCTCCCCAACCAACCAGCCACACTACCTTTTCAGGTGATGCCTAGGGGTATATAGTGGCTGTTTATTATAAGGCATTTATGTGAGTAAACACTTGCCAGATGTTTCCGAGCATGGAAAATCACACCTCCCCCTTCCATTAAGGCAGTTTGGAAAGGTGGCCTGCTCTGCAGCAAATTTTCAAGCCTTCATAATTCGATAACATTTGTTTCAAAGGGCAGTTACTCATTTTATAATTCGTACTCCCCCAATAATTTCATTCCGGGTTACATATATACTTCTTCATACATTGCCCAGTCAACAGCTATGATACAGCTGGCCGGGTATATACATGAAAGGTATTTCTAGATATATCACAGCTGTTATATCCTCTTATTAATTAGCCCATATAAAGGTAGACTGTTTTCGGAAATAAATATTATTATTAGTCCCCTACCGGTGAAACCGGGGGGACTATAGTTTTCCTCTCCGTCTGTCCGTCTGTCCGTCCGTCTGTCCGTCCGTCTGTCTGTCTGTCCGTCTGTCCGAAGAGGTTTCTCAGCACTCTAGAGCCTTCATTCTTTCATGGATTTTAATCAAACTCTACACACATGTAAAGAATTAAAATATCTTCAACAAGTTCGAGTTTCAAGGTCATCGAATCAAGGTCAAGGTCATTATTACTATAAATAGAAAAACTTTGTCAGCACTCTAGCGTCTTCATTCTTTCTTGGTTTTTAATCAAACTTCACACAGTCATAAAGAATGAAATATCTTCGACAAGTTTGAGTTGGACAGGTTCGAGTTTTAAGGTCAAATGGTCAAGGTCACAGTTACTATAAATAGAAAATTTTATTTAACATTCTTCCTTGCCTGTTTAGTAAACTTCACACACTTGTAAAGATACCTTTACAATCAACAAATAAGATTTCTTAGTATTTTTATTCCCTTACCGGTGAAACTGGGTGGGGGTGGCAGGGAGGGAGAAGAAAACAAGAATACCTAAAGTTTTCCTCCCTGTCTGTCTGAAGAAGTTTGTCAGCACTCTTGCGCCTTCATTCTTTCCTAGGTTTTAATCAAACTTCACATTATTGTAAAGAATTTAAATATCTTGGACAATTTCAAGGTAATCGGGGCAAGACAAGGTCACTATTACTATTTTAGAAAATCTTTGTCAGCACTCTAGTGCCTCATTCTTTCATGGATTTTAGTCAAACTTCACATTATTGTAAAAAAAATCAATATATTGGACAAGTTCAAGTTTCAAGGTCCTCCGATCTAGGTTGAGGTCACTGTTGCATCTTAATAGATTGCGGGGGCCGGTAGGGGACATGTATTGCTTCAGCAATACTCAGTATGCTTGCATTGTTTGCTATTAATCTCAATTTGCCTTCGAGTCTTTTGTCATAAATGTGCGATTTATGTACAAGTTGTCTCCCTTTAAATATTTACAAAGGATGAGATTTGCTTTGGTAAATGTAAATTGATCTTTTGTATTGAGAAAAAACTGGATATATTTCAATAAGTTGAAAATTTTAGCTTTGTAATAATGAAATGTGTGAAGCCAGAAAACCCTTCAGATTAATTCAAAGGTAAACATTTTCTTCAGTGTTTGTACCAGAGTTCTAAACAAACTCTTAGATATCGGTATAAATAATACATGTACTTTCTTTACTTCAGGGGCGGGCAGTGGGCATCAGTATCGGCTGTATATTAGGCATGTTCCCATTGCTGTTTATGAAAGGACGGGAGGAAGAGGAATCGACTGAGGACAAGTCCTAATGAAGACTGTTTTAGGATATTCTTATTTTATATAGACAGTGCAATATAGATCGGTTTGTTGTTTTGAAGCCGAACTGACATCTACAGTTGCCCAAGTCTGTCAAAGTCTAGATATCTAACATTTCTACTTAGAAAAGAATCTCATTAATCCGATGTTATTTGGTTTCCTGGAAAATATTTGGAATAATATTTTCAGGATACCTGAAACATTTATCATTGGAAATGTCTTAACATAATAACAGTCCGGACTTTTCCGGACAGTTGTAGTCCGGGGGAGTAAAAAAGGTTCTACTGTATTTGTAAAAGACATCTATTTAGATATTTATTCTTGTAGAATATTGAAGTGTCAAATTTCTTTTTAACACTTTTGTGAGGTCCTTTACTGTCTAAAGATTGTTCAGGTAACAGGACTTTGACAACAAAGGGAACAACTGTATGGTACCGTATGTGTTTGTCCCCATTTTATCAGGTGAACGACACGAACCTGATTGTATTGTAGTGATTGATCCCGGTTTGACGAGGTGACGATTGTGTTTCCATGGTTACCCTATTCTCGCTAGCTCACCATCTTTTTAATGGATGAGATATTTTATTCAATATATTTTTATACTTAAGATGTAAAATTTGTATCATTGAAAATAATATTAACAGCTTTAAAAACTTTCTGCCTTTGAACACCTTTTTAATTTGTTTGTTTATTTTATGAACTTGGAATTAGATATATACAGTTTTGTATCAGTAAGGTCTCTGCTAAATCCACGTGTCCAGCTTGCTCGGGTCCTTATCAACTACAGCTAGATTTTGTGTAGACAATATGAGCAGTATTTTTATGATGAACACTTTTATCTCAAATACCATGATTATCTTGAAAAAGTCTTTTTTAATCCTATTGATGATTACTGCGATGTATTTAAAGTAAAATGTATAGTTAAAAGCTTGTTACATTGCCTCCATTTGATCAACCATATTTTGGCATAATAAAGAGGTTTTGAGATAAACCGAGGGAGAAATAGAAATCAAGGGTAAATGATGCCTTGCAAAATATTGCCACCATTTTGCCTGCCAATTAAGTTTGGGCATTATAAAGGGGTTTGACCATATATAGGGGGAGACATATAAAGGAATGTTAAGAATAAATAAAAGTGGCCATAATATATTAGTGGTTATCGAGGTGGCATAATATCAAGGTTTTGTTTTATTGATTGACACCTTTTTATTTCAATGTTTATTTTATCTCAAAGTTATTCAAGTTCCTTAAGACAACTTCTATGGGACAGGGTTCAGCTTTATTTGAAGAATTTGTATCCGAGAAGCTCTGTCTGTTATGTATAGAATTCATTCCATCCCAGCTACCTCCCAAAACTCTTTACCAGTAATTACTAGACATACGATTGTAAATTAGGTCAATCATTTGAGGCCTCCTCCCCAAGTTGATCATGGGTGCCCCCTACACTTCTAGAGTTTTCAAGGTAATATGAGTTGGGGAGTTGCAGAAAGGAGACTTTTCTTTGGCAATTTTTAATACTTAGAAATGAACAAAACGGTGCAGTAGTCATTCTCATGTTATAGCATGACATATTTCTATTTTACACAGGGGCAGGGCTGTTAGGGTCGTAGACATACAGGTAAGCCTATGTAACATCTACTACCCAAACTTCAATGGGTGTTAGGGTCGTAGACATACAGGTAACTCTATGTAACATCTACTACCCAAACTTCAATGGGTGTTAGGGTAGTAGACATAGAGGTAACCCTATGTAACATCTACTATCCAAACTTCAATGGGTGTTAGGGTCGTAGACATACAGGTAACCCTATGTAACATCTACTACCCAATCTTCATACCTTCTTCCCTAGATGTTACCTTCATTATGTACTATTTTGTAAGAAAAAAACTTTCAAAATTGTTTTCATTTAGTTTGTTACCTTGGAAACACTAGCCCCACCCCAGCCCCTGATTTGTAGTAACGGATGGTGATTTAGTGAGGATTAGGTACCAGGGTGTGTATTTATTTGGTGTGGTTGCTAAGTCTCGTGTGGTTTAGAACCTCCATATAGCTTCACCTTTTTACTCTGACAAAAAAAGGGATTATTTTTCAAGTCAACAAGACTTGAGTATCTAGCTGGTGACTTATTTGAACTCAAATTAATATGTATAGTTTAGTATATAGAAGTCTATAACAGATAATTAGCTACCAGGGTGATTGAGTCCATATTATTGAAATGGAGTCAAGATATTTTTAATTGGAGTCAAGTTTTTCATGGAGTCAAAATCATTCAAGTTCAAAGCATTTGAATTCATCTGTTTGTAGTTCCGATTATTCATTAATGTAGGTAATATGTGATTTGATTATGAGGTCCCATTGTCATTATATTTACCTAGTAACATTTTTATACCAGAAACAGTATTTTACTGGTCAAAAGTGCCCTATCACTGTCATATTTCATTATTCATCAATTTCACTCTCTTGTAAATATCAGATGAAATCGAAAAAAGTTTTTTTTATATTTGTGTTTTGATTTTAAAAAATTACAAAAAAATTGCAAAGGGAAAAGAAAAAATATGATTTTTAGTTCATTATGAAAAGCTTGCCTTTTCTTATTATCATGTTAGTTGGGAGAAACGACAGGCTCATGACCGAAGGGTTGCTGGTTCGAGTCACGGCACGGCACTGTGTTGTATCTTTGAGCTAGATACTTATTACTCCGCTTGTTCCAGTCTACTCATCTGTAAATGAGTATGTGGTTGGGCAGTGCTAGAATTGTTGAGAAAGGTATTGACTGGTTGCAAAGGCCCTATAACCACGGATAATAATTTGTGAACCGCTTTGAGACGACCTACTAAAAACTAGGTTTTGATAAAGCGATATATAAGAACCTCAAATTATTATTATTATTATTTCATTTGTGCCATGTTTTACATTGTACAGTACTTAACACTTAATATCATGTTGCTGAATATCATGTTTTGGTTAATATCACATATTGGTTAATATCATGTTTTCCTCTGACAAGTGAGAAGTGATATTAACCAAAATCTACTGTATATACCAAGAGAGAAATTTCTCACAACTTTATATACATTATCTCGTGTCCAAGATGGCGGTCTGCCAGAATCATCGATCTTTTCATGAAAAAAAAGTTGAAATTGTTTATACCTATCTATTTTGCGCACCCCCCACTTCTGGTATTAAATTTCTGAGAAAAAAAAGTGCGCAAATAACATGGGTTTTTACGGTACTATTTCCAAATATCTTTTTATTTTGTAAATTTTGATATTATTTTAACTGGGTTTTTTTTATCAAAATTTTTAATGCAATCCTTTTGCTGCGGTAAATTTTATAGGAGATTTTAGTTCAGTTCCCCACATAGAGCCTAATGGTGGACATGTATTTTTTAAGAATGGAGGATATTGTTTGCCACTTATCACACACTGACTGTAGTTTTGTGGTAGAGTACTCACTATTTACCCAATCGGAGCAGGTTGAGTACTCACTATTGACCTGATTGTAGCTGGTTGGGTACTCAACCAGCTTTACTCAACAAGCTCCGATCGAGTAAATAGTGAGTTTTCAAGCAGCTACGATCAAGTAAATAGTTACCCGATCGGAGCTGGTTGAGTACTCACTATTTACCTGATCAGAGTTGGTATAGTATTCACTATTTACCTGATTGGAGCTGGTTGAGTACTCTTACTATTTACCCGATCGGAGCTGGTTGAGTACTTACTATTTACCTGATCGTAGCTGGTTGCGTACTTACTATTTACCCGATCGGACCTGGTAGAGTACTCACTATTTACCCGATCGGAGCTGGTTGAGAACTCACTATTTACCTGATTGGAGCTTGTTGAGTACTCACTATTCACCTGATTGGAGCTGGTTCAGTACTCACTATTTACCCCATCATAGCTGGTTGAGTGCTCTTACTATTTACCCGATCGGAGCTGGTTGAGTGCTCACTATTTACCTGATCGAAGCTGGTGGAGTACTCACTATTTCCCCGATCGGAGCTGGTTGAGAACTCACTATTTACCTGACCAGAGTTGGTATAGTATTCGCTATTTACCTGATTGGAGCTAGTTGAGTACTCACTATTTATCTGATTGGAGCTGGTTGAGTACTCTCTATTTACCTGATCGGAGCTGGTTGAGAACTCACTATTTACCTGACCAGAGTTGGTATAGTATTCACTACTTACCTGATTGCAGCTGGTTGAGTCCTCGCTATTTACCTGATCAGAGCTTGTTCAGTACTCCCTATTTACCTGATCAGAGCTGGTTGAGTACTCACCATTTACCTGATCAGAGTTGGTATAGTATTCACTACTTACCTGATTGCAGCTGGTTGAGTCCTCGCTATTTACCTGATTGGAGCTTGTTGAGTACTCACTATTCACCTGATTGGAGCTGGTTTAGTACTCACTATTTACCCGATCGTAGCTGTTTTCGAATTTACTATTTACCCGATCGGACCTGGTAGAGTACTCACTATTTACCCCATCATAGCTGGTTGAGTGCTCTTACTATTTACCCGATCGGACCTGGTAGAGTACTCACTATTTACCTGATCGGAGCTGGTTGAGTACTCACTATTTACCCGATCGTAGCTGGTTGAGTACTTACTATTTACCCGATCGGACCTGGTTGAGTACTCACTATTTACCTGATTGGAGCTGGTTGAGTGCTCACTATTTACCTGATCGGGGCTGGTTGAGTACTCTTACTATTTACCCGATCAGAGCCGGTAGAGTACTCACTATTTGCCTGATCGGAGCTGGGAGAGGACTCACTATTTACCTGATCAGAGCTAGTTGAGTACTCACTATTTTCCCGATCGTAGCTGGTTGAGAACTTACTATTTACCTGATCGGCGCTGGTTGAGTACTCACTATTTACCTGATCGGAGCTGGTTGAGTACTCACTATTTACCCCATCATAGCTGGTAGAGTACTCACTATTTACCTGATGGGAGCTGGTTGAGTACTCACTATTTACCTGATCGGAGCTGGTTGAGTACTCACTATTTACCTGATCGTAGCTGGTTGAGTACTCACTATTTACCCCATCATAGCTGGTTGAGTACTCACTATTTACCTGATCGGAGCTGGTATAGTACTCACTATTTACCTGATCGTAGCTGGTTGAGTACTTACTATTTACCTGATCGTAGCTGGTTGAGTACTCACTATTTACCTGATCGTAGCTGGTTGAGTACTCACTATTTACCTNGAGTACTCACTATTTACCTGATCAGAGCTGGTTGAGTACTCACTATTTACCTGATCAGAGCTGGTTGAGTACTCACTATTTACCTGATCAGAGCTGGTTGAGTACTCACTATTTACCTGATCAGAGCTGGTTGAGTACTCACTATTTACCTGATCAGAGCTGGTTGAGTACTCACTATTTACCTGATCAGAGCTGGTTGAGTACTCACTATTTACCTGATCAGAGCTGGTTGAGTACTCACTATTTACCTGATCAGAGCTGGTTGAGTACTCACTATTTACCTGATCAGAGCTGGTTGAGTACTCACTATTTACCTGATCAGAGCTGGTTGAGTACTCACTATTTACCTGATCAGAGCTGGTTGAGTACTCACTATTTACCTGATCAGAGCTGGTTGAGTACTCACTATTTACCTGATCAGAGCTGGTTGAGTACTCACTATTTACCTGATCAGAGCTGGTTGAGTACTCACTATTTACCTGATCAGAGCTGGTTGAGTACTCACTATTTACCTGATCAGAGCTGGTTGAGTACTCACTATTTACCTGATCAGAGCTGGTTGAGTACTCACTATTTACCTGATCAGAGCTGGTTGAGTACTCACTATTTACCTGATCAGAGCTGGTTGAGTACTCACTATTTACCTGATCAGAGCTGGTTGAGTACTCACTATTTACCTGATCAGAGCTGGTTGAGTACTCACTATTTACCTGATCAGAGCTGGTTGAGTACTCACTATTTACCTGATCAGAGCTGGTTGAGTACTCACTATTTACCTGATCAGAGCTGGTTGAGTACTCACTATTTACCTGATCAGAGCTGGTTGAGTACTCACTATTTACCTGATCAGAGCTGGTTGAGTACTCACTATTTACCTGATCAGAGCTGGTTGAGTACTCACTATTTACCTGATCAGAGCTGGTTGAGTACTCACTATTTACCTGATCAGAGCTGGTTGAGTACTCACTATTTACCTGATCAGAGCTGGTTGAGTACTCACTATTTACCTGATCAGAGCTGGTTGAGTACTCACTATTTACCTGATCAGAGCTGGTTGAGTACTCACTATTTACCTGATCAGAGCTGGTTGAGTACTCACTATTTACCTGATCAGAGCTGGTTGAGTACTCACTATTTACCTGATCAGAGCTGGTTGAGTACTCACTATTTACCTGATCAGAGCTGGTTGAGTACTCACTATTTACCTGATCAGAGCTGGTTGAGTACTCACTATTTACCTGATCAGAGCTGGTTGAGTACTCACTATTTACCTGATCAGAGCTGGTTGAGTACTCACTATTTACCTGATCAGAGCTGGTTGAGTACTCACTATTTACCTGATCAGAGCTGGTTGAGTACTCACTATTTAC